CATGATTACTTGCTCCAAAATTGACAATCTCCTTGGAATTGTCAATAAGTGTTCTATTGTTTAAATGCTGTGAGCTACTCAAAGCTGCTAGTTGGTTCAGGCTTGGGGCCAGGATCTGATTTAGGAACATCCTGTTGTCTTAGGCCTCTGTGGAATTCGTCTCATGTTTCAACTATGTTTTGACCAAATCTTAGATTGTCTGATACCCTACACAGCTTACTACTACTTGTACCACTGTTTAAAGAAATTATCTTCCAGAAATTGGCAATAGTTTTGGGAATTCATTTTCAGTCTGTCTGCAACCCGAAAAGGTCCAACTAACTCATCATTGATAATAGCAGCTCACACCATTACCCCACCCCACCTTGCTGACATCTGCTTCAAGCTGGTGCTCTTTGTCCATTAATGAGCCAACTACAGACCCAGTCATCTGGTCCATCAAGAGTTTTTCTCATTTCATCTTTCAATAAAACCTTTAAGAAATACATGGACTGATTTTTTTTTTTTAGTCCAATTTAGATGCTTCAGCTTGTGATTTTTGATAAATGAGGGTCATGTTTTAGCTTGAAACCCTGGCATCTGGTACTTCTGGAGACTCCAGGGAGGTTGCAGAACTGAAAAATGGTGGCACTGGAGGTTAAAGAGTTCCTTATGGTTTCACGCTTAATTCTTTGCAGATCTTTTGCTGTTAATTTGTGTAATTTCTTCAAGATGTTTTTTTGCGACCATGCTCACTATTATTGATAAACTGCTTGATTGTCTGATGGTAACACTTTAAAAGTTTGGACATTTCCAAAGTACTGCATTTTTATGAAAGGCATTTTACAATTTTTGACTTCTCAACATCAGTTAAGTCTCTCTTTTTGTCCATTTTAACCAGTAGTAAAAATTTGCCTTACAATTATACACATTTGAACATAAAGGGTTCATGAACTGCCTTTTTTATTATTTTGTGCTGTTCTCTGATGTCCACTTATAATGTTATCCAGATTTTTACACCAAAAACATCATAAGTTAGAAGTAATAGGCTATTTTCTGTCCTGTTTTGACCCCCTCATCAGAACACTGTGTTTGAATAGGCGTGGATGATTGTCGACTCGGAAGAAGGTCAGCTGTGTGCCCACTGATGTAAACTTCTGCATGTATGTTTGACAGCCTACATTCTTCATAGATGGATGCTGCTGTGATTTGGGTTAAAAACGCACAAATACTCAGTACATATCAAACAATCTTTAATAACAGACAAATAAATAGTGACCACATAATAAAAACAGTTCCCTTTCAGTTGGTGACTTTCGACATCACGTCTGTGACCTATGAGTTGGGAATCTTGCCAGAGAGACCAATCTACTTCAAGTGTAAACTAAACCAGCCAATTGGCATGTGATGTTTGCATCTGACTAGAGCTGTCAAAATGACATTCACCTTTAAAAGAGCATAATTTTTCAAACAAGTGTTCTTAAATTAAATATAATTTTCTTAATGTGCATGAAAGGAAAATTAGGTAACAAAAGTGCATAAAACTGTATCGTGTAAGTGCATCATTAACCTGAGAAAACCCGCTTCAACAGACAGCGTAATGTTTGTACTACACTCTTAAAAATAAAGGTGCTTCAAAAGGTTCTTCAAGCGATGCCATAGAAGAATCATTTTTGGTTCCACAAAGAACCATTCAGTCAAAGGTTCTTTAAAGAACCATCTCTTTCTTACCTTTTTATAATCTGAAGAACCTTCTTTCGCCACAAAGAACCTTTTGTGAAACAGAAAGGTTCTTCAGATGTTAAAGGTTCTTTATGGAACCATTTAGACAAAAAGGTTCTTCTATGGCATCGTGAAGCACCTTTATTTTTAAGAGTCATGAACACTAAATGGAAAACTGCCATTCAAAAACAATCCGCTCACTACACATCTAACCTACATATTGTTCGTCAAAAACACCAGACGGTTAACTTGTTCTGCAGTGAGTGTTGAGCTTTTTTTTTGACAATGTTTCCAGCTTATGAAAACACATGCTCAGCTCTGACCAATGTGCCAGGTATGGTCAAGTATGTCTTTGCCAGCTGTGCAATATGTGGTGTGGTGGGAGGAGCAAACGACAGACAGAGTGGGTGTGGCGTCTGGCCTCGGAGAGGCTTTTATTAAACACAAAATCAACAAAGTGTCCAAAACGGGGAATAAAGTGTCCAAAACAAACGGGGGGTCTGGTGTCCTCGTCGTGCTGAGGAAGTCGTGAAGGGAAGGGCAGTGTTCAGGAAGGAGGGGTCCAGGCAAGGGGTGGAGTCCGGCGACCGCACGCTCTCCCCACTTTGGTCCGGGGCGGGAGGGGTCGGCAGCTGCTTCTAGCGGCTTCGTCCTGCTTGGCCCACGGCACTTTGTGGGGATAAATGGCCCGGCATCCTTGCCCGTCAACCGTATAACGGGTGCAGTTCTCGTCTGGACCGCTTGTCCGACAGCTCTTGTCTCCGGCGGCGCGGGATCCCTCTACGTTCCCTTCCTGGACCCACGAGGACACCAGC